CCCCCCCCCCCCCCTGCGATCGACGCGGCATATATAAATCTACTTAAGCCCAGACAGCAGAAATTATCCAAAACTGTGAAGGGGAGCAAAGCCCCTTTCGTGTAATTAAATTTTAGGACATGTTAAATGTTAGGACCTGACAAAGTATATCGGTACAGACTAAAGATTAAAGTAGAACGCTCCGTGTAAACAGGAACACAGAATTTACTACAGTACTTACGGCGAAAGTTTGCAATCCAAGTACTTGTCTATCAAATCATCCAACAGACACTTGAAAAGATATTGCATCAACTTCAGTTTTTCAATCTGTCTGTCGTCTGCTTCTTCTTGGCGCCGGCGTCTGGTTATATTGTACGTGGCCTCGGGAACGTAGGTTGGGGGATACGAAGGGCAATACTTTATCATGAGTTCGTCCATCTTGCCGATCATAAACTGTGTGTAGGCTATCTTACGCTGGACGTCCCTCATAGCGGCCTCATCTGACTGTTGGGTGGTGGTAGGGGCGGGTGCCGCAGTGGTGTTTTCGCTTGGCGCAGGCGTTGTGCCACCGGTGTAGCCAGGAGTGGTACCCCCTGTACCAGCAGCGCCAGTGGTAGCGGAGGGAGTGGTACCCCCAGTGCCAGCAGCGTCAGTGGTAGCGGTGGGAGTGGTACCCCCAGTACCAGCAGCGTCAGTGGTAGCGGAGGGAGTGGTACCCCCTGTACCAGCAGCGCCAGTGGTAGCGGAGGGAGTGGTACCCCCAGTACCAGCAGCGTCAGTGGTAGCGGAGGGAGTGGTACCCCCTGTGCCAGCAGCGTCTGTGGTAGCGGAGGGAGTGGTACCCCCTGTGCCAGCAGCGTCTGTGGTAGCGGAGGGAGTGGTACCCCCAGCAGTGGTGCCAGGCGTGGTGCCCTCTGTGGTGTTCCCTGCGGTGCCAGAGGTTGTAGGGGACGTAGTCTGAGAGAACGCGTCACGCAGTAACACCAGAGTAACACACAGAGTGACCAGGAAATACCGCATAGTTTCTAAACTACGGCCACCAGACCTTGACGTTGGTAATATCAGTGATTAAAATCAGTAAACGAGTTGGTCCAGCAACTGATGACTGGAGACAACTATAGAGCGATATTCAGCACTGAACTCTACTGATGACAGTGTTTCGTGTAAGTTACGCGTACAATTGTTTATATATGTATGAAGATATAGATGTAAGTTACACCATCAGTGCCTCAGAACACAGCCATTGCACTGTTTGTTTTCGGGTATTGATTGTTCAGTTTACCCGATCACGGCGTTTGCATGGTGGCAAATGAACCTCCATTTTGGCAGGAAAAGTCCTCACTGACTCAAAATTTAATCTAGTTTCTATGCCCTTTCTCAGTAAGAGTTGACTGAGGGGGTGAAACGCATCACTTTTTACAGAGAAAGCGCCCTCTTTTTGAAATTGCTGACTACATGCCTGTGGACTGAAGGTCCAGTTATTGTGCCAGTGGCGAAGGCTGAGAGAGAGAGAGAGAGAGAGACAGAGAGAGAGAGAGAGAAGAAAGAATATTGAAGACATGCCAGTGTAACGTGACAGAGAGTTCCCCATGATAGAGAGTCCGCTTCCTACTCATTTGTAGCCTAGCGCTAGCGCTAGCGCTAGATTTTAACCCGCCTCTAGGTCAGGCTAACCCTAACCTTATAACTATATGGATGGCGGATTTTCTGTTACACCAGTTTCCTTACACCGACTCTGAAGTCGTGTTCTAAGAAACAAATATATTGCATGTACTTCCCTTTTTGCTGATTCATCAAGGCGTTCCCAGGACACCTCTGCTGATGAGGGAACCTGCTGAAATTTTAATAGCACGCTGCCATGTCACGTGATCAGGTTATTAGCAGATATTACACGAACATAGGAATTAAACGATTTATTTGTCCAACCACGAACTTCATGTCTGGTACGCAATAAGAGGTGGAGTCGCCGTTTCCTTATTTCAAGACAAATTATTTATGGTGTTATATTAAACCGTATATCATTTGGTAATGAGATATTTTAAAGTTCATTCAACATTATAGGTGGGTGTACCTTTTGGAAGTGTTCGGATGAAACGCCAATTTTAAGAGGCTTTTTTATTTTCGGACCAGCACTCTTCAAGTAAAAAAACGCTGTAATAAGCAAAATTTTAGGGCTTGCGCATTACATAAGTCTTTAACAAACAATTAGGAACGGAAGTGTCCACGACATTGCAAGTCAATGACAACGGGATATTTCGTCATGAAAGTCACATAAACTCGATAGCAAAGCTGGCAAATGTACAGACATCTAACAAAAAAAAAATTACCAAAATATTTACCAAAAAAATTAAAAATTATCTTCACCTCTTGTTTAACTATACAAACCAACCTAGCAAATTTAAAGTGTAATAAAAAAGGTGTTGAGCACATTTAGGGCGAATGGCGCCAAAATACAGTGCTTGCAATAAAAAAACAAAAAAATCAATGACTTCAGAAAAAAAAATAATCCGATTATGTCGATTTTCGAAAGGAATCTGCCTTTGCCAAACAAATCTACTCAGTAAATATGAAGTAAAGCAAAAATAAGGATTGTCAGTTGTAGGATGAACAGCAGGTGTGTGGAACGGCGTCTGGACGTCACGGGCAGATGCAGTGCTAGTGATCAGAATATTTACAGACACACTGAGTGCCTCAACATAGGAAATAATCTCTCACAAAGTAAAAGCATTTTGTAATGAAAACTTATTGAAAAAACACTTGCTGTAAATATTGCGTTAATAAGTGCAAGAGTTTGTCTGGCAACTTCTAGATCCTCATGTTCCCCCCACCCCCCACCCCCCCAAAGGCGCAAATTCTTGTTGTTAGATTTACAGACAACCAATTTTATTGGATATTCTGAAGCGACAAAATTTTGCATCATGTTAATAATTCTTCATTACTAACACGCTTATCATTAGTTGTAGAAAGCCGTTGGCTTCGACTTCGTATTTATAACTAAAACATTTGTATTTATTGTCCTGCAGAACTATAAATCCAGTTCACCTTTATTGCTTTTGACTTCGGAAGATTTAGATGAAAGTCAGCATGATAGAAGTGTCCAAATTTAGAGGGATGAGTTTAATCGGTTCTCTATTCTAGATTTCTGCCTCAGAGTACTTTAATTTTTTTCTGTTTTAAAGAACATTAATTTGACGAACAAATACCTAAAGTATGTGAAATTTACAGAATAATCTGATACACCAGAATAAAAAATCAGTTACTACCATTTTGCTTTCACTTTCTACTTTTATATAGGACATTATAATTACTCCGAATTATCTGTGGTGTCGCCTTGGGCACTAGGCTCAGTTGCATTGGAGGCCTGGGTGGTGGTGCCACCTGCAGCAGTAGTTCCACTTTCAGCGGAGGAAGTTGTGCCACTTGCAGCAGTAGTTCCACTGTCAGCGGAGGAAGTGGTGCCACTTGCAGCAGTAGTTCCACTTTCAGCGGAGGAAGTGGTGCCATTTGCAGCTGTTGTTCCACTTTCAGCAGAAGAAGTGGTGCCACCTGCAGCTGTTGTTCCACTTTCGGCAGAGGAAGTGGTGCCACTTGCAGCATTAGTTTCACTGTCAGCAGAGGAAGTGGTGCCGCTTGCAGCAGTAGTTCCACTTTCAGCAGAGGAAGTGGTGCCACTAGCAGCTGTTGTTCCACTTTCAGCAGAGGAAGTGGTGCCATTAGCAGCTGTTGTTCCACTTTCAGCAGAGGAAGTGGTGCCACTTGCAGAAGTAGGTCCAGCGGTACTGTAGGAAGTGGTGTCGCCTGTTGAAGCGTATCCAGTGGTGGAAGGGGATGTGGTCCAGTATTCGGAATAGGTGCTTCCGCTCGTGTAACTGGCTGTATTGGTGTCACTCTGGAAAATTGGAAAAGAGGATCCCTGGGGCATGTAAACCACAGTAACACACAGGGTAACCAGTAAGAAGCCCATGGTGTTGAATTCGTCAATCTCTGTATTTATCACCTGGCAGTAACTGTCTTGGTAACGTGAGTGTTGTTGCACACTGATCTTTTACTCGTGCAATATTACACGTTACTTGATAGCATGTAACTTTTATACACGTATAGGAAGAGATAGACAAATAAACGTCACAATTTAAGTTGTCTGAGGAAAGGCTAATGAACTATTTGTTTCTTTGTGATTTGTGACTCCCGTCAACAGTTCCATTTACCAGCCATACATGGCAAGTTTTCGTCAACCATGTCGTTTATAGGCACAGGCAACATGGAGGATAAAAGGGACCCCACCCCCAACCCCCACCCCAACCCACACACCGCGTCGCTATGTTATATCTGGATGATAAGCAACCTCCACTTCAATTTTCTTTCTACAGGCCTGAAATTGGCATTGCAGTTATTCAGTGAAAGAACAAAATATGTGGTGACGGGACAGAGTATAAAACAAAGCAGACCCATTCATAACAAAGATATCTCATTCATAAAAAAATATTTAATGAATGCCAGCTTGGACATAGTGTTCCACGAAACAGATTCTTTTCCTGAGGTCCCGTTTCCTGTTTATTTACACTTTCCTAAAAGGCATTATTCTGATGAGGGCACCAATTAAGACCAGAACAGAGTCGCGTTCCCACTGCAGCTGGGCCGCCCATTTTCAGTTCTTCTCAGTCCTATAGAAAAAATCCTTATGTAGTTGATGTTTTTATAGGTGTCTGCAAATTTAGCAGTTAGTGGCAGCTATAGACTAAATATCTTCACCACTCCAGTGAAAATCATTTATCGAAATGACTAACAAATGTATTCGTAGACTTGTGGCTGAGGAAAAACTATTCAAATCATTTTAAATTCGCTCGATCTAGAACTATAGTAATATCAACAAACGTTAATTTATACATAAAGAACTGATGCAGTGCATTCCAACCACTGTGTGTGTGTTCTCTGTTCTGGTAAAATCTGCTGACGAACATGTGTGCTGCATTATACATTGACAAAATAAGCACCTCAAATGTGGAAGATATGATGGCAAGGTATGGTTATGATGACAACGTTTTCAGTGTGCACGACCACATATTTGGCGAGTGTAACATTCAAATCATCCTTATGTCAGGGGCGGATTTAGGCCGTCTTCTGGGTCTTCCGGAAGACGGTCAGATTTTTAAGTTTTCATTTACTTGTATCCAATTTTTTTCTGTCGGAAGACGGTCAAAAATGAAGGCTGGAACAACAAAGATAATTTGGAAGACTGTCAGAAAATATCTCTGGATCCACCCCTATTATGTAACCCCCCTTCGTTTTTTTTTTCACTTCATAACGATCTTTTCTATACCCATTTGTATTATTTAAAAAGGTTTTGAAGTAAAGTTTTGTTCAAAACATTTGCTGCTTTTTAATCTTGTTGTTCACCAGACGTGCCTATACTGGTACTTCACACGGACATTGCCAATGCTTTAGACAGTTTGGCTTGTTCTCACTGTGATATTACAATATAACCAAATGTTTTTCCTGTCAATTTTATCTCCTCAAAGCTCAAAACTTTCTAAGTATGTTAAGGACAAAAGTTTTCAAATTATATTTTGTCTGCACCGGATTTTGTCTGTATCGGATCAGAACGTGTAAAGAAAACAGAACAAATAAAGAAATGTTACATGTTACCACACTCAGCTTGAGGAATCTTCTTGGAGTAAAAACAATTTTCATTCTTTTGTGCAACCGATTCCAAGCCTTTTATCCCAGTCTATTTTTGCAAGTTCATATTTAATGAACATAATCATGAAAATTGGTATCAAAGAAGAGGAGCATTCACCAAACAATGCAACTCATTTAGACAAATCCAAGCCTGGCTGATTTCAGATGCTTGACATAGAGGTTTACACAGATAACTACTGCCGTTAATTATACAAACCTTGTCATAGGCATAATGCAGAGAATTAATATCTGTAATAGGATGGAAAATACAAATCAAACCAGTCTTATTTAAAATGTATAACATAGAGGTGTTAGCTAGATCACATCTATTGTGGAGAACAGAGCTGCGTTAAATAATTCACAGGTAGCTAGTTTTATGTAAACATGTAACAGCTGAAATAAGTCTTTAAGGTTTTTTCTTTTTTGTTCACTTATATTGCTTTGTATTTGTGTTTTCTAAATAACCAGTGTGCTTACACAACATTCTCGGCTGTGCCACTCATACCTAACTATAGTGTAAGACTCAGCAGATATGTGAATTTATTTTTATATTTCTATAATCAAATGCTCAGCTCCAAACCCCACTTTACCAGGGCAGTTTTGGTATTTATTGCACAGCTTTGGATTTTTTTCAGGTGATCACATTTTTGTAATAAAACCATAAAATATGAGTTTGAATTTGAGTCAATTCTTCAGTCNGGGTGGGGGTATACCAGGTATTGGGTATACCAGGAACGGGGGTATACCAGGAATGGGGGTATACCAGGGGTGTACCAGGGGGTGTGTGTGTGTCAGGGGGTTATCCAGGAATGCGGATTTCAATGCCCTTTGGGTCTGCCATTTGATGCCACATCCCCTAATTATATAACAAGCCACACATTGGCAGCCATGATAGAAAACGTTACAGTAATGTAAAGAGCTCTTGTCACCTCAAAGATGGTAAATAACTGAAGTGGACCAATTAGCTGTTGACTCAATTCATGTTTGATTTCTGTTGCGTAGCCTGTAAAGGATAGAGATCAATGACCATCCCCGCCTATGCATCATTTTAAGAACCTTAAATTGAAGTGTAAGGAAGTATTATTGCTGACACAATAATATTATTAACGACCAGCAATAAGTTGTTGTCAAATAGATCAGTTATACTAAACAATACCGGTTTTTTATGCAATAGGTAATTTCTCAGACATTTAAGATGTATAACATGGAGGCCTTTGATAGATTAGACCTCGATGTCATAATTTTTAAATCAGACGGGTTTTGATAGACCTCAATTTGTAACATTTGGTTATACATCTAAAATCAGTTGGAAATTTGTTTTTGCATAGAAAATGAGACATAATTACGGATATTTGAAACTGTTTCAGCAATTTTGATTAAAGCAGGGCACAGCGGCGTGAAAAAAGGAATATTTTCTGACAAAATTTATAGGTAGATATATAAATAAAAAGCCAAAAATTAACATTACTCAGTCAATTTGATCATTTATGCTAAACTATATCGGCTTTTTACGCAAAATGTAAACTGCCCGGACCCACAGGAGGCTGCGTTCGTTTTCGCGCCTACCCGATCTTGCGGCGGGCTCGTCTCTACGGGCAGGTGACATGCCTCACGCGGGACTCGAGCTCGTGACTTGCCGTTGTTGTTGTGCATGAGTTTGTTTTTTTACTTAGCAGCCGTGCACTACCGATTGCGCCGTGAGTGTAACCTCCCGCCTTCCATCACTACAAGTTTCCTCTTATAGTTATCAAACAATTTTTTTAGAAATGATTTCTAGCAACAAAAATAACATCGGACGTTCTGGAATTCGAACCCGCGTTTGAGTGTCTAGGCGTGTCCGAGCCAGAAGAGTTACCACGGAACCGCTAAGGCTTCGTTGGAAGGCATCAACGTATATGTAAACTTTCTACCTCGTCACGGAGAGGGCCAGTTTGAATGCACGTGTTTATGTCTACAGTCGACAGCCTTTGAATCGTGCAAATGTTTTTCATTCCGCTCACCACCAGTCCCCGAACATTGCCTTATCATTGAACGTTTAAGTTTGTGATGTACAAGAAGCCTTGTTTGAGGAGCCGATATTGAGCATTCCAAGATAGATTCCTTTTTTATTATGACTTTGTTTTGATCCGAGATTTAGCTTGGTATCATCAATGACGTTAAAGAGCATAATGGGACAATTTTAGTTTCAGCAAGCTCCTAAGAAGAGGGAATCATTAAAAAATGGTCAAATGTGTTATAGCTGGTGTAAACCAAAATGAATTGTGCTTTTATTTTCATATTGGTTTACAATGAGACTACATTTGACTTCACCTGTGTCGTTATAGAGCAGGACGAGAGCTAAAGCGGTTCACACCTTGGCGGTTTTAGTTTTGAGACGTCTTTGCCATTTCTAATGTCCACTGAGGAGTTGCCTGAGGTCCTGTATGACCATATGAACAGCCTTCATAAGCAAGGCCGGAGAGGCGGGGAGGGTATTAAAAGCAACAAAATATATGATTGGGTAAAGCAATGGCGGTGACTTGACTTTTGAAAAAAAAAATAATAATAAAGAAAACATTGTCTTGCTGATAATCCCGTCAAGAAGACAGCACACTCCGGTGAAAGGGCAGAATGGCAAGCATGGCGCCATGTCGGTTTTTAGCGCCATCAGATCTCAAGATCACATTTGTTGTGAGCCAGGTAAGAAATGGACGCGTTAACTTCACACTGGTCATATAGATACATCTACACAATAATAATTTCTGCTCTGGCGGCATGCCAGTCAACAATTTGCCCTTTGCCATCATTCTAACGATAAAAAAACAAAATATTGGCCAATACTGTTGCTTATGTAAACAAAGGCAACATTTTTCCTGCCATTTGTTAAATGCGACCTGGTTTCAAGTCTTTATTTTGGATTAATTTATGATTACAGACACATAATCTCGCACGTCGGTGAAGGCTAATGTACATCATAAAATACACATTACATAATGTAACAGTGTCTTACATGGCTGTGATCAGCTCTAAGCAACACAATACTACCTACACTACAAAAGCACCCTGAGAGCGAAGACCTCCGCCAAGGACTAAATTGCAGTAGTTGAGAGGACATCCATACACATCCAAAGAGCAATGACCTCATCACTGACCATATCTCACAATGGTGAAGTATCTTTAAAAACTCTTGGATCCAGATGATGATCCGGATAACAAACAAAAATTTGCCTTAAATCTAGGACGTTAATTCGTGTAAAAATATTCGTTTGGTAAATTAAATATAGTGCTGCTGCGAAATTATTCATAAATACTTAAACTACTTCTCGAAGGCATGCGTCCACTTTTACCATCTTTAATAAAAATTTCCAGATGTAGCATCTCTCTTTAATTAAAAAGTGATTTTTTAAAAAAATTCTTCACCGTGCAAAAATCCAATTACTTCCGCCAAGAAGGTTATGGTTTTGGTTCCGTTTGTTTTTGTCCGTTTGTCTGTTGGCAACAGTAAGGAAAACTTATGGGCAGATTTTGATTAATTATCAGAAAGTGTCGGGAGCGGATCAAGTAATAAACGATGATATTATTATCTTATAAAAATTGCCAAACGTTTCAACTTGACAAAATCGTAAAGACTTCAGAAGACGTAAATATGTACGAATTCGTACGGCCACCGCCAGCCTCCATACTGGCGCTGCACGTAAAGGAGATATACGAGCACTGCATAGGTATCGCACGGACTTTGTAAGCCAATGCAACCTATCTTAATCGCTTAACTTAGAAAAGTTTGACGGCTTTTTATAATTTTTAGAAGCTGAAGAAATGGACTAAAAGAATCTATTACATGAATCTATTCTATTAATCTATTATTAATGATTATTATTATTAAATTGGTTTTGATTAACTTGTAAAACTGAGAAATGAGCAGCCTGGAATTGACAGAGGTCTGTGCCCTGTTTTCTGGTCTTAAATGTGTATTCAGAATTTAGAAGCAGTTGTTTTCTTTCATTATAGTAATTTGATGTTCTACATTTTCTCCTAGCAACGGTCAACATAGACTTGAATATGACACAATGCAGCACCAGTCATACATCTAGTGCGCGGTGGCAGTGGTAGTGGAGAAAGAATACCTCACACCGATATATAGACCAACGTATCAGACAGATTGAAAAAAAAACCATATGAAAATCGTTTACGATCACAGCTTTAACCCCCCCCCCCCCC